ATATACTTGTACTTTTGCATTCTTCGTAGCTGCCTTCTTGCCTCCCGAGAGCTCCAACCCTGTAAGGGAGTTCTCAGCAGGAATGGCCAGAGGAGTTGAGATTCTTCACCTTCTCTGGCCGCTACTTTCCTACTTTCTAGTTTTAGTTTACAACTTTGATTTACATTTTTTGTAGTAATTCGGTAAATTTTTACTGTTTTCCGTAGTAAGTAATGAAATATCAGTTTTTCTTCATCATCAGTTCTTCCCCATTTTCACATTTGTATAAATCTGAGTCATAAAGAATCTTGAGTCGATGAGAAAGAACATAGAAGAATTGACTATCTAAACCCTGTTTAGCGTCGTATTCATTAACAGATTCAGGGTGGTTCAATGTAGTTAAGTATACGGGATCCTTGTCGGTCTGCCTAATTACTGATCTGAATTCGATTTTGATTAAAAAGAGGTAACAGAAGGGTAAAGCCACTAATGAGACATAAATTGGAATAATTAAAGGGGCATAGACACTTGTCTATTAGGCCACAGAGATTTCTAGTGATAGTAGAGTTTCTTACTTATAATGTTCTAATTCTGGGAGTCATTGAAATCTTGTTGTAAATCCCTTAAGGTCAAGTATCAATGATTTAAGTTCTATATAACTCTGTTTATATGATTATATTCATACCTCATGTCGCTCTCGTAATATATATATATATATTATCCTTTTAAACACCTTCCCCATTCGTTCATTTCATTCATGACAATCTAGCCATTTAGGAACGCGTATATCAGACACAACACCTCTTGGTCACCCTTTACCGCTCAATATATATATCTATATTTCGCACTCATCACCCTCGCTCATTTCCGCTCACGAACCGCTTGCACTGCCTTCATCACCCACCAATTTCGCTTCGTTCACCTCCGCTCAGCTTTTATCGTTTCCTTTATATTATGTCCTTCTAGTTTCAGTCTGGGCTCGCTCGTACGTGAGCCTCCCTATTGCTTTTTATGCCGCTTTTCACTAGATTAGTTCTTGATTAAATTTTGCGACTTAAAATTCTCATGTTCGACCTGGAAACTCACCAGTTAAAGAGTATAAATAATTATGATAAATGATTCAGGGTCTACAACTACATTATTTAATCTATATCTGACCATTCACAATAATTCACTCTACTCTTCTTTCGACCAAAAATTTCCTGTAATTGAACAACTACAAAAATCGCTTGTCAGTTATCAAGAAGGCGAAAGCACTTTCCAGAAGACCATTCAAACGGGGTCTAAGTAATCAATGAAATTTATATTTTCTCAAATCAATTATTCACGGAGTATAAATATATTTGGCAGAAAGTTAAATTAATTGAGATTTTAAATTTGAATTTAATTAAAGTCTTGTGTTGAATTGTAATATGAGCAAAATTAAGTTAATTAATATGTAATTTACTTAAAAGATAGTTGGGACGTAAATCCCACATTGGTTATACACATCATTAATGATGTATATAAATATTATTGTGATTGATTAAGATGATAAGAAGTGTAGTCAGACACGTCAGTACCAATAAGCCACACACGCACACCGTCCGCTCATCCAAACCGGATATAGACTCAAACACAGACACAAACACGGCACATACACATGCATGGACACAAGCTCAGTGTTGGGGTTGTGGGGCTTAAGACTTGGGAGTTGGTAACTATTGGGCGATGCCAAGTTTTGCACCGTAGTTCAATGCCCAATCCAAGAGTTATATATATATATATATATATTTTTTATCTCGAGATGAGCCCATATTTGAAGCTCAAAAGCAAACCCGGATAAGTGGCCTAAGTTGCAAGGATAGTATCTAAATGATATCTTATTCAATGGCGAGTTTATCCATTGCAATCAAGAACGAAATCAACTCCAAACGTTACATCGTTAATCATGGACAATTTTATGTAAATTGATCTCAGTGGTTTCTATTTCTCCCAAGTGGTTGAGCCTATAAAAAGGGTTGTCTCCATCACTGCCAACACACTAACAATCATATCCTTTCTTCTGATCTCTTTATCTCCTCCGGCCTGCAATAGAACTTCGGTCATTTTTCTCTACCTTTTCTAGCCAGTTATGCCTTTATTTTAGTTTTCCGAAGCTCTGATGATTTGATATGTCATTCTCATCGGAGAGAAACCACTTTATTTTTTGAAGTAGTACGCTTTGAACTGAAAGCAATAGCTGAGTATAACTAATTTGCGGAGAGAGGACTACCTCGACTCGGCTTAATTTGTTAATCATTTTTTTTTTTTTGAATGGATGGTCATCCTGTAGTAATGATGATCATACCTAGGGAGATTTTATGTATTAGTAGTGCTTGACGAACATAAAAAAACAACGGTTTCTGATGGAACAAAATATGAACATCATGGAGCAATTGAATAGGATTCAAAATCATGGACTGTTGCGACTTACACAGTGATTCCGGTGCTCCCCCAGTCCCTTGATGTACGTATCTTTTATATTTCGTTATCATTTTATATCATTTGGATTAGCAGAACAATTCATTGGTTGCATATTATTGTATTGCACTAAGTTTGACCTTATTTGCTTTATATTAAACTATTTTAAAGGGTATAGATCAATATTGTGATGATTTTTGGAATAATTTTTATATTATAAATTTATAATTATTTGGGATTTAAGAATTCAAAATAAAAAATAGAAGGGGTATGTGATAAATAATTTGCGCAAATATTTTCTAGGATCAATTCTATCATAAAATTATGGCTTAGAACTCGAAAATATTATGTCACAAATATAATGCGGAAAAAATGTAGTGACGTACTTTTTTCCTTCACAAATGCCGAATTTAATGTGGCAAACAAAGTTTAATGATGGATTTTTCCATCGCATATATCCCTCACAAATGTTTTTCGAGGAATTTTCAGTCATATATAATCACTAACCAACATAGTTATGAGGGATTCTGAATCCCTTGGAAATTTCCTTTTTACGTCCTTCAGAAAAGAAGAAAAAAAAGGATTCGCAAGAGAAACATATCATTTTAAATTTGCAATTTTTTTTAGTGTATAGGAAACAATATCTTCAAAAACTATAGAAGATTTCTATATAGGGTGTGTTTAGTTATGGGATTTCGGCCGAAATTTACTATGCATTATATTTACTGTTCAAATTCTTAACCTAAAAATCCTACTCTATAAATCCTATCCTCCTACTATTTTGTCCGTACTCTGCCATACCTCATTTTTTTTGTTTTTCATTTTTTAGTTTCGTCACTGAAAATTTGGAAAACAACATTTACTCCAGCCAAAGAACGGTGACCGTGATGGCGGCCACCGGTGGAAAAAGCTACAAAATTAAAAAAGAAAAAAGAGATAACAAAAATGGTGGAAGAAAAAAAAAAACTCACCGGAGGTTTTTGTAGGCGGCGGCGGACTTCGTCTATAGAAAAAGGGTGGCGGCACAATATAGAAGAAGGAAGGGGGAGAAGAAGAAGAAATAAAAAAAAGAAAAGAAGGAAGGTAAGAAGACACAAAGGGGGAAAGGAGAAAAAAAGAAATGGGGGTGGCGGCGGTCAGGAGTGTAGTTTAGGAATTTTTTATTTATAAATGTCAAATCAAATTATATTTTTTATTTATTAATTATATTTTTTAATAATATTTAAATATTAAAATATTTAAACTATCACATCACTATATTATTTTTAATAAAATAATAATTTTTTCAAATATAATCATTACAAAATTCAAACCCTTAATCAAACAAACGTACAAAATCATAACTTCAAAATCTTTACAAAATCCAAATCTAAAATCCAAACCTCCAAACAAAAACACCCATAGAAGACTTCCATGGTTGTGGTGTATGATTTCCCATCCCAACATCAATGAGGCTAGACACATATTTGCATTGGTTTTTGAGTCTTATGATACCTAACAATGCTTTGTTGTTTAACAAATATACTCTACTTGAGTTGATGATGTGCATTTATAGTGATTTGGGAATTTTCAAGGAGATATATAAAGATCATCCATGATAAGGAATTCCACTTTCCTTGGTGATTTCTTGATTAGTTGAAAGCTTGAGAAATAATTAACATTTGCTCAAAATTTCATTGAAGTTAAATACCAAGCCATAGCTAACTCAGGTAATAAAAATTAATGTGGATTCAAAGTTTATTGTCTAAATCTAGCATTCAATATTTAATTGTGCCCCAACTATTATGCGAAAATTAGCATTATTCAAATCAACAAGAACCCGATATACCATGATTATACTAAACACTTCGCTTTCGCCATTTTGTCCACAAGAAAGTTTAGGCAAATACGTTGTCATTGATTATATATCTTTACAAAATTGTAGGAATCTCCTAGCAACTTATGATGATGTGTGGGGATGTCATAATCTTATTCCTACATAGTATATACAACCATGTACCTTTAGCATATATTCTTTAAAGAAGACAATTAAATATTTGCAATTTTATACATTAGTCTTCAATATGCTCATTTTTGTTTTTACTATATTTCTATTAACAAAATCAAAGCAAAAAAATAGCACATAAATCTATCGAGAGAAGTGAAAAATACTTACACTTCAAGTCATATTTATTGCCAAAGAAGTTGGCGTACAAAGGATGTGTATTTGACATATAACTTACTATGATCACAAAGGATCCGAACATGCTAAGCAACAAACGAATCAACTGTAGGAAAACCACCGTGTTCTCACAGGAACAGTCACAGAAATTCTCAAAGAAAAAAAAAAGAAACAACATATAATCAACACTTGAGAACAATACAAACAAATCAGTGATGATTTGATGATGCAATGTGAATTGTGCATAAAAAGGTGAGAGAGGATTAGATTATGGTGGTGGAAAAATTGAGGGAGGAATGGAGATGCAGAATGCTAATATAACAACAACAACAATAACAACAACAACAACAACAACAACAATAATAATAATAATAATATTGTTGATGCAACTTTTCAACAATAAAAAATAAAACCCGAAAATAAAAATTATCTTCAAATTTGATAACATAAAATACCTGAGATTAAGAATGCCTAGACACCGTACGATACATAAGTAAAATAAGAAAAATAAATACTACATACTGTAAAAGTAAAATGGTGATCCCCAAAAGAAATTCACTAAATTTGATGTCGATTGAAGATGGTTTCTTTAGGTCATGAACAGACCTATTTAAAACCTATGTCAACCGCCACAACCAAGTCGTGCCTTCATATCCGCTCGCCGGTTGTAACTTCTCTCAACCGTCTTAGAACTGCTTTTCGTCCGACCAGCACACCTGCTGCTACGTCTCCTCTTGCCCGTCTTCCACTTGTTCGATCCGCTCACCAGTTGTAACTTCCCTTAACCGTCTTTTTAGATGGATCATAAATCACCATCCGACTGAAAAACCGTCTGGACCGTCTCATCTTTCTTCGCCCGACCTTATCTTGTCCGACCTCTTTATCGGCCGTCTCATCCTTCTTCGCTCAACTTCATTTTGTCTGACCTCCGTATCGGCTGTCTCATCCTCCTTTGCCCGACTTCATCTTGTCCGACCTCCTTATCGACCGTCTCATCCTTCTTCGCCCGACATTATTTAGGACCCTACTACCATTATCAGGCCTATTGGACTATACATCAATCCAATTTATAAGCCCATTCTCAAGAAACCCTATACATTGGTTTTTTCTTACTCAACAAATACAATATACCTATATATAGACAAGTCCAATAAACCTATCCAGGCCCAATGAGGGTGATGGATCACATCTTTTACACGCTTCTTCATTCTAAGGGCCACCATTTGTATCAATCTGGAATTAACCAAGTAAATGATTACGTTTTAAAAACCGAATAACAAAGTCACTATCTAAAATTTTAATAAGTAGGTCTGATCATTATTGTCAGATGCAATAAACTTTGTTGACACAATTTTTTCCGTGATGTAATCCCTAAAAAAATGACAATGCACCTCGATGTGCTTAGTTCGTTCATGGAACACTTGATTCACATCAATTTGAAGAGCAACCGTTTTGTCACAAAAAAAATCAACAAATGAGTCATGAGTAACATGCAAATCCCAAAGTACACCAATCAAAATAGCCTATGCACAGGTTGTTGTCATTGCTCTATATTCTGCTTCTGCGGATTAACGTGATATAATAGATTGTTTCTTACTTTTAAAAGAAACTAATGAATTATCAAGAAAAACATAATATCTTGTAACTAATTTTCTAGAGATAGGGTATAAGGTCTAGTTAGAGTTACAATAAGTAGGAACATGTAAGTTTTGAGAATTGGAGAAAAAGCAAACCTTGTATGAATGAACCTCTTAGATATTTTAGCACATTTAGAGCAACGGTCAAATAAGATTTCTTCGGTTTATGCATAAATTGGCTCAAAACTTGAACATGAGAAAGCTATATTAGGTCTAATGACATAGATTGACTTACTCACAATGTTATAAATTTCATATTCTCTTCCATGGGAATAAGGGTTGCTTTACACCCTAATACTACAAACTCAACTAGGATTTCCAATGTGTACTTCATTTGACAAAGCACAAGTCCTTGTCTGCATTCAATAGCCTATAATCCTAGGAAGTATTGAATAAGTTCAAGATCTTTAATTTTGAATTTAGCGTGCAAAAATTTTTCGAAATGAAGAAGAACATCAACATCATTTCTAGTGATTAAGATATCATTAACATATACAAGAGCAATAGTAAGCAAATCATTCACACTTCTAAATAATAGAGAATAATCATGCAACGATTGTGTAAACCAAAATTAAAGCATGACTATTTTTAATTTTTCATTCCATTATTGCAGTGCTTTCTTTAACCCATAAAAGGATTTTCTCAAGAGACATACCTTGTCTTTGAATATTTCCGGATATCCTTGAGGAGGGGACATTCATACAACTTCATGAAACCTACAATGCAAGAAAGCATTATTAATATCTAGTTGAAAATTCTTCCACCTATGACTCACAGCTAAGGAGATAACAATAGAACAATAACCATTTTCACCACCGGGGAGAGTCTCGTTAAAGTCTATTTACTACTCTCTTTGACTAAATCCCTTCGCAACAAAGCAAGCCTTGTAGTGTTTAGCAGTCCCGTTGAAGTTATATTTAACTTTGAAAACTCATTTATACCCCACCAACTTTCTATCCATGGCACGCTTCCAATTGGGGTCAAGGAAGGCTTCTTTGATAGAGGTAGATTCTAAGTGTTTGTCTAGACTTACTAGAAAATAGGAGTTAGTCCTACTAAGAAAGTTAGACACTCTGTAAACATTCTGTATAGGATGAGAATCAGAAGCTTGACCTATCAAAATTTTATAATCACACAAGTAAGGAGGAAGATGAAATGAAAGGGTCAAGAGGACCTTCTTCTACTCTCAACTGCCTCAGATGTGCTAGGAACAACAACTGTATCTATCAAAATGTGAAGACCACTTATTAGGTTCGACCGGAGGTTTACCCCGTGCGTACTTTTGGGTAGCGACTGCAGGTTCCCAAGTCGTAAAAAAAAAAAAATTGTGAAGATCACTTACAGAATTTGTGTAATATCTATAAACAAACAAATTGTGTGTTATTTTTGAAAAAAAAAAAAGAAAAACATATTTTTTCAAAGAAATTAATATATGACTTTATCTACACAATTCTTTATACCTCACATAATATTTTTTTTAAACTATGTTACAAAACAAACACACCAAACAATATATTATTGTTTAATAATAAGCAATTTTAATAATATAGTATATATATTTTCTATTTTTACTAATAAATTAAAATAGGAGCCAGTAGATTTATAAATAAATACATAAATCAATTATAAATATTTTTTAACCAACTAAAATAACATATTGGTTGATTGTAAAACAATATATATATATGAATAAACACTAATAATAAAGCTAAAGAATGAGAAAATTGATCATTCATAATCATAAAATAACATAATTAAAAATACCCAAAATAGTACAACTTAAAAAACACGAACATAATTTAATTTGGAATGAAATATAAGATTAAAACCCTAAATTTCTAATCCTTCAATTTTTAAATAAAAGATCTCTAATTTTCAAAATTAAGAAAAAAAAAAAAAAAACCCGTCCAATATTTTGCAGGCAGCAAGTGAAGAAGAAAAAATATTTAATTGAAACTATCGGAGTATTAAAATTTTAGGATCATAGTTAAAATGGTGTGAACAAAAAAAAAAAGAAAAAAAAAGAAAAAAAAATTTAAAAACCGTTCTAAAGTGAAAATCTTTATAGATTCCTCTCCTGGTGTGGAATGAATTTGGGTGTATAGTTAGTGTCTATGACTAATAACTAATCTTAAAATTATAAATATTATTAATTTTAATAATAAAAAAAAAACACACACACTCTTTTAAATATTATCTATTTATAATTTGAATTTTTAGGTGTTTTATAAAAAATATTAAAAAGATTATCTTTATAGAAATTTTATATATATTACACTTACATGAAATTGACTCCATTCTGCATTAAATCCTAGGTGGACGATCATTCGCTTGGTCCAAAGTCGACTTTTTAGTTTTATAAAAAATTTAAAAACCGTTCTAAAGTGAAGATCTTTATAGATTCCTCTCCTGGTGTGGAATGAATTTGGGTGTATAGTTAGTGTCTATGACTAATAACTAATCTTAAAATTATAAATATTATTAATTTTAATAATAAAAAAAAACACACACACTCTCTTTTAAATATTATCTATTTATAATTTGAATTTTTAGGTGTTTTATAAAAAATATTAAAAAGATTATCTTTATAGAAATTTTATATATATTACACTTACATGGAATGGAATGGACTCCATTCTGCATTAAATCCTAGGTGGACGCCCATTCGCTTGGTCCAAAGTCGACTCTAATTTTAGTTTTAAATCATTATTGCATAGGGCTTGAATTACGTTTATTAAATTGATTTAATTTGATTTGTTTAGCATCAATTCAAATGTAAATATCTAACTATGAAATTATGAGTGTCAAGAGTTTAAAATCTTCCAACATCGTTTGATTTTACGTGTTATACTCCATCCGTCATGTGATTCTGTTCGTTTGACCGGGCACTGATTTTAATATAGAAATGTACTTTTTTGACTTTTTGTACTTTAAGTACAAAAAGTACAGGGACAAAATGATCTTTTTTAGTACAACATAAAATAGTGATAGAAGTAACTACAATACTTAATTTTTTAATTATGTAAAACATGTTTAAATTTTCTATATTCAAACCAAAAAAAATGAAAAAGAAAAAGAAAATCTTTTGTTACATAGCCGCAATAAAAATTAAATTTACTTTATTTTTTTTAACAGTATACAATCCTATATTAGTGCAAAAATTTTCCCCCCAAAATGTAGCAAAAATAAGAGCAAAAAATAGCCTAGAATACACTAGGATCTTAAATGCCAAAAAAATAAATTTCCATCAAAAAATCACCATCTAATTCATTTCCGACACATATGGATTAATGCCAAATAAGTTCCCCCCACAATACAACAAAATTAAGAGCCAATACCAGTCTATAAATACCCAACATTTTTACATTAAATACAATTTTTCAAATCAACCATTCATAAAATCCTTTTACTAAAAATATGTTCTTCCCCGTTAGAAATTATGGAGCAGGAAAGGGGAAAGGTTTCAAACCTGAGAGCTGAGACAAAAACTTTTGTGGCCCCAATTTCTTCTTGCACACACCAAAGACAGAAAGCTTAAACAAGGAAGGATCAACGAGTGCACAAAAATGCTAGCGATCTCGAGGTGTACAGTTTCCAGCATATGGAGGGCAAGTAAAGTTAAAATTAGTAACGGTGAACCTATTGTTTTCCAAAAAATTGTGTGGTCACAACATGCAGATAAAAAAAGGTTTGATCCGGTGATGTTTGAAAATATTCCTTTAAAGAAACGGTCAAGTGCATGTAAGTAGACATGTAGTACAAACCTCGGTGAAAAATGGGCATATTAGGCCACATAGCAATGCTATACATCCCGAGTTAACCATAGACAACAAACTATGTAGGTTAAAAAATTATGTTTGAATGCTTTATTTTACAAAGAAGAAGAGAAAATATTCACATTCAAATGCATGGACAATGTAGTGCATATAGACGAGAAATGGTTTTATATCACAAAAGAGTATGATAGGCACTATCTCACCCCTGAAACACCCAACCCGTATAGATCATGTAAGAGTAAGAGATTTATCACAAAACTTATGTTTTTATGTGCTGTTAGTCGACCTTTATACTCAACCAATGGAGAGCTACTTTTTGATGGGAAATTGGGAATATTTCCCTTCACAAAAGTAGAACCAGCACGACGAAACAACAAAAACAGATTGAACGGCACTCTTGAGACCAAACCAATTGACACTATCACAAAGACAGTCATAAAAGAATGCCTTATAAACCAGGTGCATATATATATATATATATTCACTTTCACCTATTCATCATATAGTGAAAAATGGGACAACCCTTTAAAGTCATTTATTTTCATACATGCAGCAACATATTTTCATTTCACACAGACACTAACATAAATTTCATGTATATTTTGAATATACATTTCAGGTATTACCAGCAATAAAAGCAAAGTGGCCAAGTCTAGCATCGAAAAACATCAATATTCAACAAGATAATGCAAAGCCACACATTCAAGATGACATCCAGATTTTAAAGAAGCCGCATAGTCTAATGGATTCAATATCCACCTTGTATGCCAACCCCCTAACTCACCGGATCTTAACATCAACGATTTAGGTTGATTTAGGGCAATACAAAGCCTACAAACATAAACATCATCACACAGTGGATAACTTTGCATGTAACGTGCAATTGACTTTTGAGGGGCTAACTCACACAACTTTGAATAATGTGTTTCTAAGCTTGAGAGCCTTTATGATACAAATTGTAAAATGCAATGGGAATAACAATTACAAACTCATACACATGAACAAAGAGAGAATGATTCGTGAAGGCACACTTCCAAGAAATTTAGACGTTGAAGAACAAGTTGTCAAGGATGGTTTACAGTTTCTAAGGTTGCCCGAGAATGAATCAGTAAGTGGAATAGATATAAATCTTTTGATGTATGAAATGTTATATGCTGAATGATATCTGAAATGCTTAGTACATAAGGTAGGAAAACTTTAGTTTTTGCCAAAGCTATATTTTGAGTTAGAAAATACAATGTATTGGTTTTTTTGTGAAATTTTATACGTACTAAATTAATGAATGACATCCAAGGATGAATGCAAGAAAGGTTTTGCAATTTTGATTTTTTAAACTTGAATTCGAGAATATTTTGAAAATAATCATCCTTCAGGCAACAAAGCGCCCTCATCATAAGGATGAATGTAGCAATTAGTCTCCCAAATATGCATAAAGACATGCTGATGATATAATGCCACTTTAGCAACTTAAAAAAACATATTAATGATGCAAAAAGCCAAAAGCCACCTACAATAGTTTTTCAACTGTGGCCAACAGATGGGGTTGCTCCTAATTAACCAACAAATCCCTCACATTTGATGGGCATTAATTATAAAAAAAAAGTACGATATTTTCAGGCATCAAGTAGAAACTTCATTTATCTCGGTAAAATTGCTAAAACCATGCCAACAAATGCACAAAAAATCCCTTTCCCAGAATGATTGGATCATTGGGCAACACATAGGGACATATATTAATTAAACATACCCCACATCAGTAAGTAGAATTATCGCATTAGGCACCTAAATCAAGCACATTCCCACAATGAGATCCCTCAGCTTTGGGTGTCTTGGTCCTCTGAAAGGGCCCAAAATTCTCGAGAAATTATAAGTATACGGGGGACCATCAAGCAAAGGAGCAACAACAACATCAACTTCATGATTAGTAATGGGTAAAGGAATTATACCAGCCCGAGGAGTATCAATATTTTGGTGAATCATATTTTCTAAAGTTTTCATCACTACTTCATCCGAATCGATCGCACCCACTGGATATGGGCCAAATTCTTTGCCATCATACCCTTCCAACAAAAATCACAAGAAATAGAAACAAAAAATTTAATTATTGTTGTTATTCCTTAAGTGAAACCAAAAATCAGTTCAAATAAAAATATGAGGGCACAAGAACAAACCGGTTTGTGATGAAGGATGAGAATCGAACCCCCCAGTAGAAAACAACAACGAATCCGGCCAACCCACCGCCAACTTGGCCTTCTCCATCACCTTTTTGCCGTTTCTGGCGTCGACAAGGTAATAGTTGTCCAAATCATCGATTTTTTCTTTCTCTTCCACAAAAGATATTAAATCGGAATTTTCATCCATGAGATCAATGAGAAAGTGCGAGAGAAGATTCCGAAAATAAAGACAACCAGTGAACAACTTCAAACTGACTGAAAAAATCACGAACGACGGCGATGGAATAAAGCTCTAAATCGCGATGGAGGTGAACGATGGAGTGAGAGAGAGAAATGAAAAATAAGGGCTGGGTGGGTTAATATATAACTGGGTGGGTATAAATTAATTAGGTTGATAGGATTAAATTTAATTTTGGTTATTAATTTATAAAGTGTATTTTAGGATTTCTAATTAGCGGTGTTTGATGAGTGGCATTTTTTTTGTAAATATATAGAAACATTGAGGATAAAAATTAAGAAGGGCTGGTGTACTTTTTTACTAAATAAAATGTGAGAATATTTTTGGATGATAACCAAAGAAAGTGAGCAAATTATTAAATTTTGTCAGAAATTTATCCAGAACTCACTAAAAATATAATAGTAGTCAATTCATCCGTCATAAAAAAAAAATAAAAAAATAAAATAAAAACACAATTTTCTCATTTTGTCAAGCTTAATTTATTTAAATTTGTTTGAATATTTTTTCAACCGAAAATTCAAATGTGATTAATTATTATAATTGAAAAGGTATGCTTAACTTTTATCTGTTATATAATCTCGACTCACATATAATACTACTAATAATAATAATAACAACAACAATAATAAATAAATAAATAAATAATTTTATTTTCGTGGTGTAGGTTGAAAAGGCTACAAAATATTTCTTTACTATCTCATAATGGATTATATTTTTCGACCCCAATCAAAACTTATAAATCTATAGGAATGTGTTTATTTTGAATTTTTTTATCTAAATATGAAGAATTATATCAATAATATAAATTAACGTAACCATCTAATGTTTTTTATATAATAATACTAAATATAAAATGACTGATTGATTATTGACCACATTTAAAATGAGCTAGAATAGATATTTGGATAACGCCTGCAGATTTCCACATCATATATATATATATAAAAGAAAAAAAAAAAGAAAAAAAAAGGTTATTTGGGGGCCAAAAGATTTAACTGGAATTTGAACAACTCCAATGGCCAGGCCAACCTTGTATTACAATAATTATTATTATTGTTATTATTATTATTATTATTTTATTTGGTCTGGGTGAAGAATAAAGTATAGTTAGTTACATCATCCATTCCATTCGTAGGGTCTATTATATTATATTTTATATATACATATATATTAACTTAAGCAAACAAAACAACTTGGAAAGTGAAAAAGAACATGCACCGTGAGATTCATCAATAATTGCACATAGTGGAAATGCCTTTTTTGCTTTCATATGCCTCTAAAGTCCTTATAAAGTGTTCATGTTGTATTTCCAAAAGACCTGATACTATACCTCCATAATTAATATATGTAAAAGAATTTCTCTATTTATTATTTTTATTATTATTATTATTATTGTTGTTGTTGTTGTTGTAAATAGAAAAAAAAAAAGAAAAAAAAAGAAAAAAAAAAGTAAGAAATGAAAATATTTTGATTTACCTTTTCATTATTGCGTTGATTTGACAAAATCAACGGCGAACTGGGTTTCCGATACAGTACGAATTGACTATCCATGTAACATCAATTTTTAATGCGATTAATATTGTACTCTGTGAAATAAAAACTTGTACTCTGTTAATATTTTAAACTTGTACTTTTATAGAAGTGTATTTGGTACTATATAGGATGTATACTATATTCTATTAAAGTATATATAGTGCTCTATAGAAATATATTTGTGTTTTATAGAAGTATATCTAATGTTCTATATAGTATAATATTATGTTCTATATTATATTTTATGTCCCCCAAATATCATCAATTCAAAAGTTTATAAAGCATCGATCAAGAATTCAGAAAGTATCGATCACAAGTCTAAAAAACACACATTTTAATTATAAGTGAGGAAATGGAAGGTTCCCTTAAAAAGGGGATACAATACCAAATAAGGGCACAAGATGGTAATCTGGCTAAACTGAAGGATGGGGCATAGGGTGACCAAACGAGGAAAGTATAGCTGCGCCCACAACTCAAGGAACCATAATGGACTAGGCCATACGGGATCGCAGGAGGATGAACTGGAAAGCTTATCTAGAAAATCATTGATACCATGATACAATAAGCCTAAAAAGTACGAGGCTAAGCCTAGTTCCACTCCAGACACTATAGCGGTCACTACCGGTTCAACCTCTCGGACTAGCCCTTTTGAGGCACAACACGCGGAATATTTACTAAACCAAAACAAAAGAAAGACATTGTTTTCAGAAGGGTCTACATCATCTGATAGCTTATTTGATGCGAGGAATTGGTTAACCATGGTGTTACTATCATAAGCCACTAGGATGTGTAAATGATCTAATGTAGAGGACGGTGATAAAGGAGGCTTGGCCCCTTTCGAGGGCGAACCGAGGATGATGACTACATCTAATACAGTGGGAGTTAGAATTCCGAATGGAAATACAAAAATATTAATGTTCGAGCTCCAAAAGCATAACAAAGCTCTAATTATGAGGTTATTGCGGGATAAAAGGTTAGCACATAAAGGTAATATATCTCGAATCCCCTAAGCATGCCACCATTCATAAAAAAAAAATGACCTAACATATCCATCCAACCCTTAAAATCGACGGTATCACTAGGTAGAATGAATATTCATGAAGGAAAATTATCAAGTTTGAACCACGGTTGGGCTAATAAGAGCTTACCCTCCCCGTTGAAGCACGCCGGACTTTGCTGAATCAACGTCAAGAAATGCACGCCGGAGTAGTCGCGGTCAAAATCCGAAAGTGAGTGATTGGACGGCTCTATTAGATGAATAAAAAGGAAAGGTGCAAAAGTTAGGGTTATGAAACTTGGGGAGAAGATTTGAAAGAATGTGGAGATTAGGGCTTCGAGTAGGGGAGAACGATTTTTATCTGCAGAAGAAATTTTGAAGCGATGGTGGAAAGATCCGAGAGGGAAATAACTAACATATGGTGATTTTTTTTATGTGATACATGATTCGTGCGAACCAACTTATTCAAATCAAAGGACTTTAACAAAATTATCCGGACTACAAAGTAATTCTGTCTAGATAATTTTGTGGGGGGCATTTGTATCCATCCAAATAATAAACAAGTGTCGTCCCAGTGCACAAGCAATCTAAGGTGGATAATGTGTGGCCCAACAATGCATGTGGCCCAATAGTCCGGCAGGCTTAGGAACTCATGGCGATTGGGCCTACAGATTCATCTAGCCCATTAATAAACTAGCCCAGCTTAATTTGGAAGCAGCCCAATGGAGACAAGAAAATCTGGTCAAAAGTGGTTTGAAAGTAGATTTAAATTGTTTGAGAGAATTTACGGATAAATTTTATCCAAACAAAATTAAAAAAATAACAAGATTCATAGAAGATCTGACCAGAAATGAGGGAATTCATTCATTTTTTTAAACAAATTTTTAAGAAAAAATTCCCTGTAATTTTTCTTCTTGAACATCGTATTACTTTCCCAAATTTGAATCAAATTCCAGTTTCTTTTTTCAGTCTTTTCTTTGACAGTATTAGCTTTATTTTTGCCTTCCCACCATATTAATAATTTGAATATCAGCCTGGATTCTTTCTTGAGGAGGCTGGAAAAACCTACAGTTAAATCAATTCCGATAGATTTTTCTGATTAATCCGTCGATGACGATTTTTTACGACAACACTAATGCTATGTAGGAAATGAGGCCAAAGTATACAATGATGGAAATGAAGATGACAAGAATGAATATGAAAATAATAATAATAATAATAATAATAATAATAATAATAATAATAATAATAATGTATTTTTTTATAAAAAAAAACTAATGTTTTTTTGTATTTTTATTTAATAATTTGAATATGTTTTTATTTATTTACAAGTGTGTTTCATATAAGTTTATAAAATTATATAAATCTGTTATAAAATTGACGGGCTAAATACAACAAATTTTATAATCCAAATAATGTGAAAGATTAAAGAGACACAAATTTACGTGGTTCGGGATAAATCCCTACGTCCATAGGCAGAGACATAAGAATCCACTAATCAAAAGGAATTCCAAATGCAATATATCCCAAAGATCACAAAGAATCAAACAAACATACCCTTCACCCAATTTAACCAAATAGCATACCATGATCGTATAGCAAATCTCATAAATTCAATCTTCACCGAGTATGTCAATAATGTCACAAAATGCCATCAATCATCGATTTTCTTCTCTTGGTCAAAGACAAAGGCTGCTCCGAAGAACTCCATAATTCAATTTTCTTGGCCTGCCTACTCAATTCAATTCAATTCATATATATACACATTAGAGTTTAGGATGTAGATTAATTTTGTGCTTAATTTTAAGCCACAAAATAAAAAAAATTCACCTTGACTTGAAATATCAAATTCCAAAACAAACGAACTCCATAATGTCGTCTTCTCCAATTCCCCTGGGGGCACTCACATACTCCATAAACTGATCATTTCTAGACCATGTATCAACTTGGATGCCACAAATGATTTAACCTATATATATTTATTGGGTTATCAATAATGGAGACCTTTTCAAAATATTATGTTGCAAATAAGGCCAAAGAAGCATAATCTACTCGGACGGGCATGATCTGAATAATGATTTGATGAAGAATTTGTAGAAAGTGATGCAGAACATATTATTGTGCTACGCTGAAGTAAAGACCATTTACCAATTTTTCACGAATTGCATATAGACAACCTCTAGAAACCCTTAGAACTCCACATGCACATGCGTACTTACAACCAATTAAATCAAGAGTACCTAAGGAAATAAGATTATTCTTTAACTCTAGAACATGTCGAACTCTAGTAAATATCCTCACAATACCGTTATTCATTTTAATTCAAATTGTTCATATTTCAACCACCTTACAGAATGCGTCGTTCTCCATCGACACAACTCCACCTTCAACTGAGTAGTACGAGGAGAACCAATCTATGTTATGACACATTTGATATGAACAACCTGAATCAAACACCCAATTGTCACCAAGTGACCCATTTGATATTACATGAACTTCTGCATTATCCAAATTCTCCTCGGAAAAGCTAATGAAATCATTAGCATTTTAGGAGTTAGTAATACTATTCTTTTCCTCGAGTTTCACACATTTATCATTCTAGTGGTTTTTTTCTTTGCAATAATTGCATTTGTTCTTACCAATTCTAGATTTAGATCTAGATATGTCTTTGTTATTCTTCGAACATGTTGTACCTCGAGTAACCAAACCATCGGCTTGATTATCAATAAGATTTTCAGACACTTGCTATTTCAACTCTTTAGAATTCAACGATGCTTTCACATCTTCCAAAGAAAGAGTGTTACGACCATATAACATTGTATCAACAAAATATTCAAATGACCGAGATAAAGAACATAACAAAAGAAATGTCTGATACTCATCATCAATCTTGACATCGACATTCTTCAAAGACATAATAATCTTGTCGAAACCGTAATAATGATTTATAATGAGCGTACATTCCCTCATACGAAGAATGTTGAGTTGTTGCTTCAAATAAAGTCGTGTAGTCAATGACTTTTTCATATATTGCGCTCTTCCTTATTTTCATCGGACAAATGTTCCGGCAATGCCTCTTTTTCCTTACTGCCGCCTTCAACAAATCTTGTTGAACCAATAAAGCACACATCTTAATACGCTATAATCCAAAATAATTTTTGCTATTAAAATTTTCAATTTCGAATTTTCCGCCGTAACAGTCGGAAGCATCCAAGATCAATCCATTGCGCTATAAGACAATCCAAGCGGAACCAAAGCTTTTATACTAGTTTTTTTATAAAATCAATGGGCAAAATACGACAAAATATTCAATCTGAAAAAATGCAAAAAATTAAAGAGATATAAATTTATATAGTTCGAGATAAAATCCTACGTCTACATGCAAAGACGGCAAGAATAACTAATTCAAAACATTTCCAAATACAATATAACCCAAAAATCACCAAGAATTAAACATACACACCCTTCACCTAATTTAACCAAATAGCATACGATATAAAATAGCAAATCCTATTAATTCAATCTTCACCAATTATGTCGATGATGTCAACCATCATCAATTATTCAGGTATGTTTCTTTTGATAGGTTTGAAAAAATTTTGATTTGAGTTTGATATTAAAATAATATATAATGGGATATTTCATGAAAAAAAAATGTATTTTTTTTTCAAGAAACACATAATCCAAATATATAATGGGATATTTTATGAAAAAAATATTTTTTTTTCAAAAAAAAAATATAATCCAAATAGTAAAAACTTGAGATTTTAGTAAAAAAAAAAAAAGAAAACCCTAAGTTTCTTCTCTTGGGCAAAGACGACAACTGCTCCGAGGAACTACACTCCTCAATTTGATAAGTTGATTTAATAATAGTAGTTTTGAGGATGCAGATAAAGATGAGAAAATCTGCAAATAATAAAAGAAAAGTAGTTTGAAATTTTATACAGCATATAAACAAAAAGGTCTATTAGTAAAATTATAACACTAAAAAAATAAAGTTAAAACCATAACTAAACCAGCCAAATTAAGGGGTTGCCTCTTTAAATATTTTATTTTAGTGTTACAATATCTCAATTTTTTTTAACTAAAATAATGATTCTATTTACTCAAAAAAAATTAATAATTTTAAAATATTATTTTTTATATAATTAACACAATTCTCCATAGCTAATATATAAATACATCAATTAAATACATAAATAGGTGTGTTTGATTGAGAATTGAATTTTGAACTGAGATTTGAATAAAACCATCTTTAAATTCCTCTATTTTCTCTAAATTTTTCAACAAACGGTTTTTCTAAATTTTAACTCCGAATATTCTTTATTTTTTTTACAATTACATAAAACTTTATTTATTTACAAATTAACCCCAAAACTAATTTTTCATGAATTAAAATTTGACAATATAGGTAATTTTCAAAATAAAATAATAACAATACTTTAATTTAATTATATTTTATGTGAAATATTTTATGATTTAAAGAAAGGAAAGAATTTTTTTTTTTGTTTTTTGTGATTCTGAATATTTATAAATATTTGTACTTGAGTTAATTTTAATTTTATGTTATACTAATATTTATAATGTTAATTTATTATATGTTATGTAATATTTATGTAATGACACATATATTTACAACAATATGAATATTTTTATCTAATTTATTAAATAATATAAAATTAAAAATAAATTAAAAATACAAAATATATAAAACTTAAAAATTCAAGGACTAAATTGCCAAAAATGAACATTTCCTCCATTTTTTGGAGGAATGCAAAATGGGAGGACATTGTAGTTCACTCTAAAATTGGAGTAAGAAATGGATATGGTCAAATAAAAAATTTTAATAGAAATAATTTTATGATTTTATATAAGTAAATGTTTATGTGATATTTGAATATAAATTTAATTTTTTTTATAATATAAAAAAAATATATTTAATTTGATATTTTTTTTAAAAAAAATTATATAAATAATAAAAAAAAAATTCAAAATCCTTGGAACAAACACATCCAAAAAGTCACAGCCAACAGTTATTTTGAAAAATAAAAACAACAGGCCCTGTAATTGTAATAATAGGATGGATTGATTCTGGATAAATGGGCTGGGCTTCATAGACTGAAAGAAGCCCATGAGCTTGGTGAAACAAACTGGTCTGTGTCACCCACCCACTCATTCACCCTATAAAAAAACCTGCAGGCACCCCAGCACCTTCTGGAAACGCCTTTCTATCTACGTCACCGTTAAGCTAAGCTAGGGTTTCTTCATCCTCCAGTCTCTCGCTCGCTCGGATTCCAAGGTGACCCTTCTTGCTAGTCCAATTCCATGCCCTTTCAACATTTTTGAGTTTGTTTCTGACCCCTTCTAGTCGGTTACCAGCGAAGATGAGGCCTGTTTTCTGCGGCAACTTTGAGTATGAGACTCGGCAGTCGGACTTGGAGCGTTTGTTCTCTAAATACGGCAGAATCGAACGTATCGACATGAAATCTGGTAAATACTACTGAAGGTTTTATGCTTCGCGCTTCTTGTTGGTTTCAACTATTTAGTTTTTCTTCTGTTGCTGATTTTATTTAACCCCACCCCCCCCCCCCACCCCCCCAATCTTTGATATGGTTTATTCTTGTGTGTGGGAAAAAGAAATTGCTGAAGCTACGGTGGAGAATTTCTTGCTTTTGTAGTTCATACTTCATTGTTTGCTCTTTCGTTCGGTTTTATTTACTACCCCAAAACCCAAGGGAACTAATATATTGAGGAAAGTGGCGCTGCCTTGGAAACTTGTTTTCCCACTGCCCCCATGCTCCCACGGTCAAGGTTTAACACATGACTGCTGTTGCCCTTTTACATCCTTTATAATTTCTAAATGGCTATGGTTATCATGTCTTGTATTTTCCATTCATGGTGGATTATTGCTGACTAATGTATTTGTTAGGTTTGGTTAAGAATTCAAGTAGACCACTAGTAGTGCGTGCTGGTCTTAACAAATGTGAAAAGTAGTTCATTGTAAACGTGGAATTGAGGAGCAGTTAGATTTCTTAATGAGATGGTTGTGGTGAAGGAAATGTAAAATATATAGAATCTGGAAGGTTTTATCTCAAATAAAGGATGTTGCAGGAAATATATCCATGGAGAGTGAAATGGCAAGAAATTTAAATCTTTATAGCAGGTGTGCATATTTAAGTGTTTGTTTTGACGCAGGATTTCTGCTAAAGGAAAATGTGCTTCTAGATTGGCTTGCCATCTTCTCTGCAATAAAAATCTCTAATGCAAAGGCAATCAAATCAATCTACTTGCCAGTTCTCCCAGAGTTGGAAATGTTCTACATCTCTTTCACTTAAACATGCCTAGAGTTGCCAATTCACTAGAATGGATGGTGGGGATGAGTTCATCATGCTTTGCTACCACTAGTGATAAGGGATCAATCAATGTGTCATGCGATGCCAACCTCACTAATCATAAGGCGATCAATGAGTTCTATGATGCCTTGCCTTGTCTTGCCTTCCATTTACTGAACCTCTCCACTGTGAAATTGGTGAACCATGCTTACAATGACTACTCAACTCACCATGGACTAGCAATTTTGCCTTCATCATTAATCATCTTTCTTTACTTCAATCAATCATGCAAGGCCTCCACATCCCTACTTTCATCAGAACCTTCCAATGTTTGCAGGTGTTGTAATTTATTTAACTGTTCACAGGGCAAAGATTTTTCAGTTAGCTGATGTGACTGTTCTCTCAAGGGGTGCTCTGTAATTTTCTTCTGTATTATCTGATACTGAGCTGAGTTCTTTACATCAGGATTTGCCTTTGTTTACTTTGAGGATGAGCGTGATGCTGATGATGCAATTCGTGGCCTTGACAACTTACCATTTGGGTATGATAAGCGCAGATTGTCAGTTGAATGGGCCAGGGTATGTTATGTTTACCCTCTTTGTCACATTTCTGTAATAGCTGTTTGATTTGGAAATGAATCTGTTGATTTTGGTTCCTGTGATAGGTTTCCAAGTATCTTCGGATTGAATTTTTTTCTATTGACAAATCTGTATGTGGTATCGATTTGCTAGGGTGAACGTGGCAGGCATCATGATGGGAGGGGAGGGAACCAGAGACCCACTAAGACACTTTTTGTAATAAATTTTGATCCAATCCGGACTAGAGATCGTGATATTGAGAGACACTTTGAACCTTATGGGAAGGTCCTTAATGTCCGGATCCGTCGGAATTTTGCATTTGTGCAATTTGAAACTCAGGAGGAAGCCACAAAAGCTTTGGAGTGCACCCACATGAGGTTTAGACTTTGCAATTCCATTTTTTTTTTTTCACATTGCTAGTTTTTATTTTCCTTGATGTTTAGGCTAACATGCTTGGTTTGTGCATTCTCAGTAAGATACTGGACAGGGTGGTTTCTGTTGAATATGCTCTGAGGGATGATGACGAGAGGGGGGGTGGGCGATATGATAGCCCACCCAGAAGGGAGTATGGAAGACATGATAGTCCTCCCCCTCCCCGAAGATCACCGAGTCCAAGATACCGGCGAAGCCGAATTAGCCCTGATTATCGGAGACCGCGCAGCCCTGTTTATGAGAAATACAACGGTCCCTATCCAAGGGCGAGGAGTCCCGATGGTCCGTCTTATGGGGGCAGGGGAAGGAGTCCCCCCAATGGCCCATCATATGGGAGGGCTAGGAGCCCTGAATATGATAGGTATCGGAGGTAGATGCTGCTGGCTTGGCTTCATTTGGACTGGTATGTACGTATTTTTACGAAATGTTCGATTAATTATGTATTTAATTTTTAGTGGGAAAGAAGGTCTTGTCTGTCTGATTATGTATGTTGCAAATGGTAACAATAATGTTGGTTCTCTCTCTTGCTGTTCGTTCATCAGGAAGGGAAGGGGTCGGGAATCTGTTAAAGCAGGGGAACAGGGAGGGAGGGAGGGAGTAGTAAGTAAGTAGGAGAGTCTGAATGGTTGGTGAATGAATGTGTTGGTTTGTTTTGTTAACAGAAAGACTATTCATTCAGTGACTATAGATATATATATGTATCTGTATTATTATGGAGTGGTTGGTTTGTTGCTTGGTCGGTTTGTTTGTTCATAGACAGACACATCTTAGTTGCTGATGATGTTATGTACTAATATACTTTTGTTACTTTCTTATATGCGATTAGATGTGTCTGTTATGAATTATAATTGTTGGCGTGTTACATTACATCTAAATATGCGTTGGGTTCAAATTTTTGGACAAGGGAAGGAGAGTTCTTCTTTTACTACAACTAGGTGGATCCGGATGAGAAAGAAAAAAGATTTATAATATTTTCATTAAATTATTTATATATTCTCAATATATTCTTTTTGTGGGATTTTATTTTGGTTCTATATTTTCATTTTATTTTGGTCGTTTACTTCCCGTCTTCTTTCTGTTATTCATATTTATCGAATGCGTTTTGGGAGTGTTTGTAATGTGGTTGTATACAAATTATATTTTTTGGATATTTGATTAAAATATTCAGTATGTTTTGAATTTTATAATGGTATTTGATTTTAAATAAATTTTCAATTATTTGGGTTGATATTTAAAATATTAATGTTTAAGATTTAATTTGATTTTGTAAGTTATTCAATTTGAAAATTTGTAACTAAAAATATTTTACAATAATATTAAGATAATTTGATTAAACAAAAGTTGTATGTAAATAACATTTTTCTAAATTGACACAAAAAGATTATCTGATTTTAATAAAAATAAAAATATTAATTGTAGTTTTAATTACATATATGTATTATATATTTTATATTGTTTATTAAAGTCCCGTTGAATGAATTTTTGGTAGGAGCTTTTAGCTTCTGATTTAAAAAAGAAAAAAACATTCTACTTGTTTGCATTGTTTTCTATCCATGTACAAAAGCAAAAGCCGTTTTTAAGACAATATTTTTCTAAGAAGGGCAACTTCTCAAATCACCAGGAGCACTTTCCGATTGAAATTATTATTTTATCTTTAATAATAACAATAATAATAATAAAATAACAAATAAAAATATAATATAAAAATAATTAATTTATATATAATATAAATATACATATATAAATATATTATATTTTAATAAAAAATTAATTATTTTTAATTTATATGTTATACTATAATTAAAATTCCAAATTTAAATAAAAGTATATAAATTTTTTAATTATAATGAAATTATTAATATAATTTATAAAATTTTTAAATATATTTTAATTTAATATTAGATTGTAAATATTATTTTTAATTTATATATTATCCTTAACTTAAAATTTTAAAATATAAATAAATAAATTTTAAAAGTATATATTTTTATACTATAACTTAAATTTTTTAAATATAATTAATAAGATTGAAAAATGAATTATAAAAGTTTTATATAAAAAAAATACTATTCTATTAACATTGTGTCCTTTTGAATAATTTTAACCATCTGTTTTTATAAAAAAATAAAATTGTTTAGATATAATAAAGTTGAAAATGTTTCTTTTTGTAAGCTGCTTTTATACATATTCATTCAAACACAAAATCGAACCGCTTCTTTTTTTTACTTTTCTTCTTCAATCCAAACTGGGCCTAAATCTATGTCAATTTTTTTTCAATAAATTATATAATACCCTATTGTATTTTAGTAAAAATGCATAAAACACCTCGTGTTTTATTTATTTCGTGAAATCCCTTGTGTTAATATAAAGTTTGCATGAAACACTTTCTTGTCCAAATATGACGTTTGGTTCTAAATAAAAACCTAAATTACGCAAGTTCTATATAAACAAAGAACGTAGAATATTTTACATATTTTTTTTAATAAATAAATAAATAATTAATTAATTAATCATTTTTTTTATAATTTTTGGGAGAAATTATTATCTGATTTTTATAAAAACTATAAGAATAAATAATTTATTTATTTATTATATTCAAAAACTTATTTAAAATATTTTTTATTTTTTATTTGTATAAAACTTGCATAATTAGTTCTTTATTTAGAACCAAATATCATCTTTGTACAAGAGAATGTTTCATGCAAATTTTATATTAACAAAGAATTTTACGTAATAAATAAAACATGTTTTTATTTTTTATTTTTACTTGGGTCACTTGGATTAAAATCCCTCTGAGCTAACACACATTTAAATTCAGTCCTCTTTATTTTCAGAGTACACTGCACTTCTTACTTTTAATTTCAATTTACACTTAACTCTCTAGTACCTATTTTACCCCTGAAATCACAATATAATGTAACAAATTTTGTATCTACTTCTGTTAATTTTATATAAACCTACTTTATCTAATTACATACCCCAAGATTATCCTGGTGTACAAAGAAAATGTCAACTCATGTGCCTTGATTTTTATTTATGTACTGAAATTAGTTAAAAAAAAAAAAAAAAAAAAACTCTAATAAAACCCACTATCTGAAGTTGTGGCTTGGTTACCTTTTTTAAACTCATCCGTCAAAATACCCCCGCCAAAGTAATTGCCGTCAATCCTCCTTGCATAAACTTTCACCGCCGTTGGCATCGGAAGTCTTCACTCGCCGGCCAGAGCTCCGTTCCCGCTCGAGATGTTGAAAAAAACATCATCTTCAAAGCGGAGTTTGAAAAATTAAGTTAAAGTTTATATTTCTGGTAGGATCAAGTTTTTTAGTTCATGGTGTACTTGGATTTATTTTATTTGTATTTCAGTTAGGTTTGTACAAGAATCGGTAATGGATAATTTTACTTTGACATCATATTGCACCATCGGGTCGAATATGAATTATTTTGATTTTTATAAAATTTTGAATGATCTTGTTGTCTTTAGAAGTACATTTATTTGCATTTTTCTAGATATATTAAAAGTAAAATGGTTGAGATGTGAGGCAGTGCTTCTTGTTTTCTTCAAATATTAGTGCTTCTTGTTTTCTTCAAATACTGTAGACAAATTATTTCTTGTTGGGTGATTTTTTAAATACTAAGATGTTGGACATTGCCTTTGTCATGGAGTTGGTAAGGGTTTAGGGTTATAGATGTATCTACTTTGTCGATTAGTAAAAATTTTGCTTGTTCTTGATATTATTTTCGAGGGTCTCTCATTGTCTTTGGTGTGCCTTGATTGTTGATTTATAAAAGATTACTTGTTTTCGTAGTTATGCAGAAGACATGTTTATTTTGAAATGATGGCAGACCCGAAAAAGAATACAAAGGTCTTACCTCTAAATTATCTATACACTTCGTTCATATAAAAATAACTAAACTTAAGAGACTGTATAGATGCCATGGCGAGAGTCTCGACTGTGGACCAGTTGTATGCATAGCTGAGAGTTACGCTTTAGACGATAAAGACCATTACCCACCGGGCGGCTGGCATCCGAATTTTATGATGCCAAGACTTAAGGGATAAGATTGTTGCAAGAATTTTAGCAAAGGGCACTGGAGGGTCTGTCTTGTCCTGAATGTTTATGATGCAATTTGTTACAGTCGGATTGATGAATAGCTTAGATTTATGGTCAAGTAGGAGTACTTAACCGTTGATGTTATATTTTAAAGTAGATTTTGTTGATGACCGACTATTTTAAACTAACGCATGATATTTTTAGAGGTTGTTTACATATACTTACATTCTGGTCATGTATAAGTCTCTATTCATTATAAGTAATTCAAAACTTCTAATATATACCTCTATATGTTACTCGGACACCCAAATCACGTGTACAGATATACTGGAGGGGAACAAGTACCCAAAAAAGTATATAATATACTTCACTTGGGAAAATCCCATAATTGAGTGTCAAAAAACCCGTAGAGCGAGATCACATACCTCTATGGTGATATTTGTACCTTTATTTTTAATTTATATACCTCTAAACTAATGGGATCTACTCGTACGAAGGAATATGATTTCTAAGTAACTTTACTCAGAATCGACGTACATTGAGAAGATGTGTACTCACAAAATTGTTCTGAAAGCTCCGAAGGACCGAGGACAAGTCCACATCAATGACTAATATGTTCTCTATATTGTGGAAAGTCCAATATGTCTCACAATTAGTATATTATATGCCTTATGGTCCATTTACTCTGGTTGGGTGTTACTTCTCACTCTAAAAAATGTTTGGACGGACAATCACATTACAAAGAACGTGTTAGATCATCAGTTATGCAGTGATTTCAATATTTCTATTCCTATGGATCATCTCAACATATTTTATTTCATATCTATTGTAAGTGGCATTCTTCATCCACCATTGAATGCATTGATAGATTCTTTCGTATGTCATCTCAGAAGAATTCCCTACTGTACATTCACTGCCCAAAAAGTGGATATGATATAATCATCTCATAGTTATTTGATCTAACAACAATCATTGACAAATTTTGGCCATGTTGGTTGAATACCCGTGTTCACATTAATAATACTTGCACTCAAATATGAATACATCTATACACAAAGATGCGCTCGTTTACTCGTATTATCTATACCTCCGGTTTTAATGCATACACTTCTCAAACATCATAGGAATACTTATATTGTCATTGTAAAAATTCTGTTGAAAAAATTAAATGCCTACACATGATTCAATGTTAATGTAATTTGAGATAAATGATGGAAACACATTGTGGGTCATGTTATATCGTAAAGAGTATTTCGAGGACACAAATGACCTCAAGTATTACGCTGAATTTAATAAGCCAAGCTCTATATTTATTGTACTGTCGTTGTTGATAATTGTTATTCTTGATCACATTTTATACAACTACAATAACTTTAATGTATTTTCGTTGTGAATTCATATACCCCTGGATACGGCTAAATTGCAATTAATTCGTAAGGATACATACCCCACATATTAGTTGCGTATATCTAGGAATAAAAGAGGAATATCATCTAATTTTGAAATAATTCAATAGCGATCTTGTACAAAGATTTCCGTTCAATGTACAATCAGCCAAATATAAAAAGAAAATTCTAGTCATATGATGAAATTAGAAATAGATAAGCTAAATCTTCCTTGCAACTTCGTCGGTTCTATCCTTGGCGACCACAACGACCACATTTTTTAGATTGTTTTATCTGTTGTGATTTAAACCGTCTTTTTTTTTGTGCCGAGTTGGTTGGATAGATGTTGTTAGAGGAATTATTTTTGCTTGCAGGTTGTTCTGTGCCACATCCGTATCATGAGTCGACACCGGGTTAATGGGTTCTTCGT